GCCGCACGTAGCATTTAACGCTTTATTACTAGTGAAATGAATGTTCCAATATTGCTACTATTTGCCATTCCCTGTATTATAAGTTATTTGATAAATTTCTTGATCAAATGGTGTGTATGCTTCTTTATAACATTTAATTATATGTAAATACTGGATTACTGAGTAGCATGAGATTAGATGAGTTTAATCTGTACATTAGACAGAATGTTTTATGTTGATTCGTATTATTGTTTTTAATATTCTAAAATCGGGTGGGCGGCTTTGTGAGAAGTGAAAAACAGAGACAGTTGACATCTGGGAGGGTGGCTGGCGTTAGGTGCAGATTTAATGTACGGCGTTAAATGAAAAGCGGCAAAGTTTGTCTGTCTGGGCTTAGCGCGTTTAATACGCGCACCTTTCTCGTCTAATACCTCTGATGTTTAAGCCGCCCCCGGGGGCCCGCCGCAGCCGCCTCCGACGCCACACTCATCCATCCCTTCGCACCCTCCCTTCTTCCTCTCATCACTCTTTCTATCTCTCACCTATCTCGAGGATACATTTGCAAATTGCCCTTCGGACACAAAAACCACCCCTACACCGCACCGACCCTATGTAAATCATAAATATATACTCCATACAAACACATACGTTTATCGCGAAGACGACGAATCCGAGACTTACGAAGAGCAGCTCAAATTATTTTAATTAATTTGAGTGCAAATGCACGAGCTTGAAGTTTGCTTAATGCCGTGTGCATTCACCCTTCCGAAATGTCTTCGAAACTCAAACGCAACACAAGAAATGTAATCATTTATATAAAAAAAACGGTTAAAGCGTCTAAAATATTGCTCAAACAAATTTAGTTTGTTTCATTATAATCAAGTGAATATTTCAAAGATTTTCGAAGTTACTTGTTTCTTAGTGTAGATACATTTCGAACTATAAAATGTACTTCTCTATAAATATATGAAATACAGTCGATTCCGCTTAACCGGGACACATTAAGACAAGATTTCCATTTGTTATTTGCTCGGTTTTGTTTCTGTTTTTTAAGATTTCTCTCTAATAAGCGGCTGTCCTGATTAACCGGTGTCCCAATTAAGCGGATTCGACTATAGCTAAAAATGTGACATATGACGTAAATAAATGTATCAAAATTATGACACTTATAATCAAACAAACTAAACAAAATGATACATGACGTAAATAAATCTATAAAAAAAAATATGACACATGACATACATAAATCAAAAAATATGACATTTTACGTAATGTAACCTAATAGAAATAACTGAAGGTCATACCTTGACAAAAATAAATACATTTAAATATAACGGCATAACAATACATCGGTATATTGGTTACTATAATACTATACTATCAGAATTTCAAAAACTGTACTTTGAAAAAACTTTTGTAATTGCAGAAGAATGAAGAGTAAATTGTAAAAAGATTACATACTGTTGAATGAGAGTCAATTGCGGTATATTTCACGTTTAGAAATCGGTTTAACATAAAGGATTTTCATCTGTACCGCTAATTTCCGGATATTTTTTTGATTTTGTCAAAATTGGCTTACAAGCAGCAAATCCAATTGCGCCTAATGTTTCTCTAAAGATGCGTAAAATCTTCCTATTATTCACATTGAATGTGGAACTTGTTTTGTCCTTTCTTTAGGTGCGATGTGGTCCTTTCTGTGTCGGCCTGAGCCATAAAGCAATTAACTCTGCGGCCGCCTTAAACGATTGCAGATTACGAAGGACTTGGGAGGACCATTGGGGGTTCATTTTTGCACCTTCTTCGCTCAACACAAAAAAGTTAAGAATCCCTACAAGCCGCAAACCCGCATTCGAAAGAATTGTAGTCAACAATGAGGATGGGAGAGGAGTTAAGTAATTTATCCCTTTTTTCTCTCGCAGTCTCAATTACAAAGTTCCTACGTTTACATTTAAAGAGAAGAAATGAGCAATCGCTTTAAGAGATCACTTTTGTGTTGCGTCTATTTGAATTTCAGTTCATTGTTTGATTCAATATTTTTCGATGCTAAAAATTTCATATTTTCGAAATGAAAACTTTGAAGAAACAATAAAAAAAATATCTAAGAAAATGAGATCGAAAGTAAATTTATGAATCAATAATCTAAAACAATAGCTGTTTATTAATGCGATAATGCACTGTTGATATTATGAATATTTTGTGTTTAACGCAAATGAACAAACATATTTTACGCATATAGAATACATTATTTAAAAATCTGCTTATAAATACTCTAAGTAATAAATATAGTAACAAATATTAGAAATGTATTCATTATTATTGAAATAATTCGCTTTTCCAATAATGCAAAATAAATATTTAATTATCATTTAATTTATAATTTGTATTTTTGGATTAATATGAAATCTCGTTTCTCAACTTCCTCGATTACGGAACAAAAAAAAATCAATATAATAAAGAGTTGATTTTCGAATAGAATTTTGGTTCTTTCGTAAGCATTTTCCATTTACTGAATAAACTTTCTTCCATTCAGTTGAAGTGAATATAAAGCCATGTAATAACTATGGTAATTGTTGTAATAAAAATTCGAAAATTATTAATTATTATTGATATAGTTCGCTTTTGAACTAACGCAAAATAAATATTGAATACCAATAAAATTATCATTTCAGTTGAAATTTGTATTTTCGTATTACTATTAAATCTCGTTCTTCAACCGCTTCGATTATCGAACAAAATACAAAACGACTCGGTTTTCGAATTGAACAGAATTTCGTTTCACCAACAGACTAACTTTACCGTTTTCCATTTACTCAATAAATTTTCTCCCATTCAGTTAAAGTAAATATAAAGCAATTAATTATTATTGAAATAATCAAGTGATGTTCTTTTTAATAATTGCCGATACTATTTTTGTCACATTTTAAGTTTTGATGGACAAATGCATTTTTTTTTTAAATTTTAGGTTGAATGAATTTGAATTTGAAATATAATAATTTTTCTATAATATTTGTTACAATATTGTTTAAGATTTGAATTATTTCCATTGTTTTTATATAAGATTGCAAATATGAATAGAGTACTAACGCAGCTACCACTTAACTGCCATCAGATGCCATATTATTGACATTTTGATCTTCTCAATAATATATTGTAGTTAATTGGTACAATTGACAGAAGTTGTCAAATAAAATGAATATGAAGAGTCAACTATTTATTATATTCGCCTGTATCACAAAAAGCCGATACGAAAGGTTGGCAGTTCGAAACTCACCAACAAAATTTGTGGGGGCCGTTAAAATGAAAAAGGGTAGAAAAATAGATTTAAATCAATAATAATTGATATAAATTTATTATTTTGATCTTTCCAGAAATATCTTCTAGTTTATTGTTGGTACAATTGTCAGAAATTGTCAAATAAAAAATATGAAGTGTCAACCATTTACTATTTATAGTTTTTTTTATTTGAATATATAAGTATCAATAATATTTAGTCTTCTTGTTACTAATATATTGCGGGTTATAGTTCTTACAATTGACAGAAGTTGTCCATTAAAAAAATAAGTGTCAACTATTAATTGCTTACATTTTTTTATCTGAATATATAATCGTGTCAATAATATATTATAGGTTAGTTGACAGATATTATCAAATAATAAAATATATTGTCAACTATTTATTGCTTATTTATTGCTTATACAAACTACGTGTCGTCCACATCCATATCTTGTAATTTAGGTAATAAAAAACTGGATTATCTAATTGATCCACTCTCACTGATGTTTTTTTAAATTAATCTTTGTTCCGACCATATTTTGTACGATAAATTCGAACTGTAGCTGCCAAACCTTCATTATAAATAAAACAATTACAATTTGCAATTAAAAACCTGTGTAATCTATCAAAATTACTTCTTGCGTGAATTTTGGGACACCCTATAATTAACAGAAGTTGTCAAATATAAAAATAAATGTCAACTTAGTTTTTTCATCTGCATATAAAAGTATTAACAATATTTATTGACACTTTGATCTTGTCAATAATATATGGTTAGTACAATTGACAGAAGTGTCAACTGTTTATTACTTAGTTTTTAATCTGATTTCTTAACTGATTGCTATAATATTACTGATGTATAAAATTGAATTCTCATAAAAGTTAAGCAGCGGATTTGAAATATAGACTATTACTAAAATAACAAGAGGATATGAGACTTGTGGCAAATATAGAAAAAATAAATTATAAAGTAACGTTTATCAACAAATTGTTTTATATTGGTGATTTTTAGTACAAATATCAACAAATTTGTTGATTAAACGAAATCTTCCAACTAATGTAGATAACATCTGATTTACAGCTGTAAAATTACTGATGTATAAATCAAATTCACTTAAAAGTTAAGCAGCGAAATAAATTTGGATGGGTTATTCGAAATATAAAGGCTTATGGCAAATATAAAAGAAAGAAATATGTACTTACTTTTATCTTTCTAAAATAAATTATATAATAATTAATAAGATTAAAAAAAAAAAGAAATTAAAAACTTTGATTTATAATATTTATTCATATTTTATGTTTTCATCTTAGTAATTTTTTTTTGTTCTTTACATCCAGTAATAATAATATTATTAACATACCGTCTCCTCGATAACGTCTTACACTTAATAACTAAATATCATAAGCTACTATTTACAAACGTCATTAATTTTCATAATTTATTTTTTCTCATTCATTTTATTATCAACATGTATTAACTATCAAAAAGAAAACTGTTAAATGCGAAGTTTTCTTTACATATAAATATATTTATATAAAAAATAATAATAAAATAAAAACTAAAACATAATATTTACAATTTACAACTAACGACTGAATCGATTCTATTCCAAATAGGGAAATCAATGAAACAAAACACTCTTATTTATTTACACGAAAAAAAAAATAATAAATTATTAATATACTGTTTTTTTTTTGTTGTTGTTTTAGTTTGTTTTGTTTTTACTGACTAGATAGTACGTATATCTTTAGAAATATTGAAATGGTAAAAGATGGATAGATAGACTATGGGTTCAGGCGACTTCCAGATCTGAAGAGTCGTCGTCGCTGAAGTTGGCTGCACTGGAGGAGGTGTTGAGCAACCTGGGTTGTTCCGATGTAACTCTGCACAGATCTTCCTCCTGCAGTTTCCTCACCCTTTCTTGCTCCTCCCTCTTCTGTTTTCGCCATTTCGCCCTTCGGTTCTTAAACCAAACCTGTAACGAAAAACAAAACGAAAACTGAAGTAAATGTAACGAAATAAAACATACAAAAAAAATAATATAATATATAAGAATAGAATAAATATGTGCATGTTGTAGAAGGTTTGGAGAGACAAGGAGATTTTTGATTAATGTTTGTTTTCCGTTAACTAAGTTTACTTTAAGGGAGTCGGCGAATTTTGTATGTTATTGTATTTCTTCCGGGCGGACTTAAATAATAAATTCGATGCGAGGACAGTTGAAAAGGAAAAACAACGAAATCCAATAATATATTTGGCAAAATATTTAAATGTTTACATAAACTCATCATTTTGATCTTTTGTTTTTTTTACCTTAATATTTACCTTTAATATTTAATTGATTTTTTGTTGGCTTTACGTCAATGTTTTTCTAACTTATGGATAGTTAAGCAAGATTTATCAATATATTGTTTGGTATTGGTGATTTTTAATACAGTAACAAATATTAACACATTTTTTGATTAAATTTTCAATTTCTTCATTATCTAAATCATTTTGTTTTTTTTTACCTTTAATATTTAATTGATTTTGTGTTTTGATCAATGTTATTGAAACTTGTAGAAAGTTAAGCAATGTTTATTCAAAAATTGTTTTATATTGGTGATTTTTATTTTTTTGATTAAACGAAATCATCTAACTAATGCAGTTAACACTACTTCCATTTAATATTCTATGTAATAAATTCATTCAATTTTCACTACGTTTATTACTTTCAGTTTTGTCAAAATCATCATTAAAAGCTAAATAATAGTAATGTTAATGAACAGTTTTTAATTATAATTCATTTATAATGAATGTTTCATGAAAATAGTTCTAATTATTACAAAGTGTATTTGATCTACTAGACTACCAATTTCATTTGTCTTCATCCGTGTACCATCCGTGTACATTGTTTAACTTTTGTAATTATAAAGTTAAAATCAAATATTATATTTGCTTCTGATTTTCTTTTTGTAAATATTCAAAACAAAATTATTTATGTAGACAGAATTAAATTTTCTTATAATTTCAACTAAATTAATTCTAAATAAGTATACTCAACAAATGGTTTATTTTTTTTAGTAAATAGTTTGTGACAAATTAATAAAATTTTCATAATGAATTATTTCTTATTTTTAGCTGTTAAAATAAAATTATTTACATATAATAAAAAAATATAAATTTTTCAAAAAATGGTTTATTTTTTACTTAAAATTTCGTGACAAATTTTCATAGTGAATTATTTCTTGTCTTTAGCTAAAATTTTTGAGAAATGTTAAAAATAAAATTATTTAAATATAAATTATGAAGATTTTTTATGCTTTATTTAATTGTTTTTATTTAGTAAATAGTTTTTGGTACTGCAAACATATGTAGAAATGTTTATAGTAAATGTTCATCAAAATTTTCAAGTTATTTTATTCAAATAAATTTAAATTTTCGGTTTGAATGTAAATGAAATATTTAAATTATTTAGGGAGTTTACAAACTATTTTTTGAATCAAATCTCTACGAAAAGTATAGTATTAAAAAAAATGAATAGTACCAATGTTTTAAACTTTTGAATGAAATTGAAACATTTGGAATTCCATTAAACACTTTGAACCTTAAAACCTTATGTTCTGTAATTTCCATCAATTCTGATGAACTAAAAATAAACATCTTAATAGATAAAGCTGATATCAATTTGGAATTGGAAATGTACGTTTTCGGTAAATCTACCGTCGCAGGGATTTCGGATGGACGAAATAATGGAAATCGGAGCGTCCGAAAGGAGGATTTTCCTTTCTTTGTTTTGGGGATTTAAAAGCGAAGTGGATTTGATGCGCTCGGGGAATTCGTGAGTGGACGCATAAATTCGTAAAGAAGAAAGACAAACTGCGACGGAAATCCGCAAGAGAAACGACCGGAAATCGATGCAGAAAAAAGAAGGGCCGAAAAAAAAAATAATCTTGTTGTTTTTTTTTCGTTGTTCATTTTTTGTTGGAAACAATGCAAAAGGGGTTTGTTCTCCGTCAACCCTTCCAGGGTTTAGTTTTGATTTCGGGGTTTCAGGATGGGTCCGTGCAGCACAAAGCAAGCAAAAGGGCTTTAATAGTACGCATATATACATACAAACACAGAGAGAGAGAGAGTTATTGTTTAATATATATTACTGCTCGCCGTCCCCCAGTTTTGCGGCTGGCTCACAGCCACCCCTTTTAGTAATTTGCCGCCTCCGTCGGATAGTCCAGAAAAGGGAGTCTGAGAGAGAGAGAGAGAGGAGGTTGCGCTTTTGTTCGTGAGAGAAACGGGGTTTGGGAGGCGGTTAAATCGCGGCTTCCGCTACTGCGAGAAGAGAGAGATCGAGTGAAATAGAGTTAGTGAATGAGTAAGAGGGAGAGAGAGAGTGGGTGAAAGAGAGGAGAGCGAGCGCCAGATTATTCTATTACCGCGTATCAACATTGGGGAGGGCTAATTTTGTTTAGTCTCAAAACATTTCATTGTTTCAAGTGGATCAAAAATTCAACGGAAGGTTAATTAGAGTTGCATTGATCGGGAGTCCCGTGGGATAGGGAGCCGCAAAACCCACACGCGAACGACCGCCGCCGCCACAACCGCCCCTCTTCTGCCGCCCCGCGACCCACTT